AAAAAATTAAACATTTATGCACATCAAAAGACTTTTCCAAAAAGTAAAACAAAAAGAACATACAGAATGGTAAAAAAAAATTGACAATGACATATTGGACAAGAGACTAATCTCTAAAACTTATGGAAAACTTCAACACATCAACGATAAAAAGACAAACAATCCAAAAAAAAAAAAGGCAGAGGACATGAACACACCTCACCAAAGAAGACACACAGGTGGATAACAAACACATGAAGAAATGCTTGTGATCATAAGCCATCAGAGGAATGCAAATAAAAGTAACAATGAGCTGTCACCTTACCCTAGCAATAACAGCAAAGTTCAAGAAACAGAAAAAAACAAATCTTGGCAAAGGTGTAGAGATGTTGGAGCTCTCTTACACTGTTGATGTGACTGTAAAATGGTACAACCACTGTGGAAAATGGTATGATGCCTCCTTAACAAGTTAGAAATAGAAATAGAAATACCATCTATTCCAGCAATCCCACTAGGTATATTTCCTAGAGAAGTAAGAGCTGTGGCACAAATAGAAACAAGTCTACCTACGTTCATAGCAGCATTATTCACAATAGCAAAAAGACAGAAACAACCTAAGTGCCCAATCAACAGATGAACGGATAAACAAACTTTGGTACACATATACCACATTAAAGAGTAAGGATGAATCTGTGAAACATCTCATAACATGGGTGTATATACCTAAGTGAAAAATCGAGCACAAAAGGACAAATATTCTAAGAGACAACTATTATAAAAAGTCAAACAAAGGTTTACAGACAGAAATATTCTTTGATTGTTACCAGGGATGGGAGGGAAGGGTAAATCAATAACTAGAAAGTAGACAGATATCAATTAAAGTGAAGGGAAAGGCAATATAAAATAGGGTGGAGGGAAGCACAACATGACTAATGGCAAAGGAAATCACTGGGAAGTGCACAAGAGTAAGACAGCAAAAGTAAATACTATAATTTACACCCCATTTCCTTTGGATACATTAATCTATTTTCAACTATTCAAATAAAACAGAACACTAATTAAATTATTTACCAACAAAGTTAAGAAAACTTAAAACCTTTCTCTTCTCTTGAAACATTTCCACTAGCACAGTTATAAAATAACCACCCCCTACAGGAAATTTGGTAGCATAGTGCCTAAGGCACTTGACAGCTAACCAGAAGGCTGGCGGTTCAAACGCACCAGCCACTCCTCCAAAGGAAGATGGGGCAATCTACTTCCGTAGTGATACTGCCTCGGAAACCCAAGGAGGGGTCGCTATGAGTCGGGTCCAACTCGACGGCACATAACAACAACACAGGAAGTCAATTAATTTCTCCAATCCCAGTCAGTAATAATTGTGATGAGAATCTAAGACTATAAGGGATCTAAAGAGCCAAAAAAGGGTAGTGAGACAGCAGTTTAATTTCATTCTACTTGTTTCATATTTACTGCAATTACCTCTAGCAAAATACCTTAAGGGTTAACAACCAGAAAATTCTCCTAGTGGCATTAAGTAGCACTCATACAGAAGATAATCCTGGAGCCCTGCGCTTTGAAAGGAAGGATACAGAAGTGGACTAAACTTCAACAAGTAAATCAACATGAAAACACCAAAAAAGGAGACATACACAGCAGTGGTCTATTAGCGATCCTGATGGCATGGACAGCTTGGATATTACCAAGTGGTGTTGGACCTAGGAATGAACCTAACAATCGGCCCTGCTAGCCAAGGAAGGACTGCACTGGTGGCTGGAGAATAAAAGGGGAAGCAACAAAGAGGGAGATGGGCTGAGCTGTGGAATTTTGGCTGTCCAAAGGGTGCAGACACTTTGAATGTTTATAGGTGCTTCAACCATTTTCGATATTTAAAGTGACAGCATTCCTTAAGATTCCAGGGACCTAAAATAGGCTCAACTAGCTGGGGACCACTAGGACATTCTGGACACTGAGGACTGGAAAGGTATGACATTCCCCTTGTTACTCTTATACCCCACATCCTCTTGGTGAACAGAGGTGCAGCCATCCTCCCTGCTTTCCACCCACCTTCTGGGCTGGCAGGAAGTACAACCCATTCTGTGTGCTCTGACTGAGCATGGGTACGCTGCGCTGCCCAAAATTTTTTGGTTAGTTTGTTTTTGTCTGTTTTTAAATTTTTTTTAACTTTTTTTGTCTTTTTTATTACTATTCTTTCTTCTTTACTTCCCAGGTTCTAGTTTTCGGCCTTTTCCCTCTTCCCGATTCCCATTTTTTCTTTCTTGTGGTTCTACCCATTCCTTGTTTTTCTTTTTCCATTTCTTCCATTTTTTATTCATTATTTTCCAACTCTACCTGTTTTCTCCCCCCTTTTACTGTTCATATTTCTTTTAGCTTTTTAAAGTATTTCTTTAGATATTTTCTCTCATTTATTGCCTTTCCTCTTCTTTTTTTCCATCTTTCTTTTTTCTCTTTTTAGTGATTGGTCTTGTGTGTTTATGCAGTGTATTTTTTGTCCCCTTGTTTTTACTTTTTTGATGGTTTTTTGATTCTTGTTTTTGTCTGAGTGGAAGACAGCAACTGTGCCCATACGACCCAACCACACCCGCACCTCCCGCA